GTCCTCTTTCCTGACAATGACCCTCCCCCAGGGTCCTCTTTCCTGACCATGACCCTCGCCCAACGGTCCTCTCTTCTGACCATGACCCTCCCCCACGGTCCTCTTTCCTGACCATGACCCTCCCCCACGGTCCTCTTTCCTGACAATGACCCTCCCCCAGGGTCCTCTTTCCTGACAATGACCCTCCCCCAGGGTCCTCTTTCCTGACCATGACCTTTCCCCCAGCGTTCTCTTTCCACGTTATCCTATTGATAATAGTTGACCTTTATACTGAGGATTTCTAAATGTTCTCACATCCTTGATGTTAATTTATGTTCACAGAGCCCTGTGAGGTACATAAAGAATGGAACCAAGGCTTGGAGAGCTCAAGTAATGTCACCCAGTTGATAGCATTAACACGTGGCTGTGTGCTGACACCCTCAGTTTGGTACCCAAGCCCAGGGCATTTCCACTCTTACACTGAGCTAACTAGGTATCATTCTTCCTGCATTTGCAGTGTGTGGCCTGATGAGGGCTGCTGGTGTACCTGTCTACCATCTACACTGGACAGTGAGCTCCTAGAGGAAAGGGCCACCTTGCCCTTCCCTTTATCCCTCAAAGCACCTGGCACGGGCAGAGATTCCATGGTGAGCACAGTGATCATGGCTGTGCTCCCTCTTCCCTGGGCACTTCTCAGGGGCCAGTTGCTGTGCGATTCGAGGTAGCCCATGCAGGGGGTATTATGAACTTCTGAGCATCTGCAGCTCAGCGGGGCTGCTCAGGCAGCAGGTGAATCGGCTGTGTGGGGAGCTCCCCCAGCCATGCTGGGCCAATGTTCTCAGCCCTGAGCACACTGACCCGGCCACCTCCGGAAGCACACAGGTGTCCACAGGCAGATCTCCCGGATGCCCAGGACTCTGTAAGCCCACGTCTAGGAAAAATTGCCCAGATAAGACTTCTTATGTGCAAGAAGTCTATTAGAAAAAAAATCCAAAATATTTAAGACATGGTAAGCCTGCCGATGTTTGCTTTTTAAAAAAATGAGATGCTTTTTCTTTCTCCTACTCTCAACTAATGGCCACCCGAGTCTAAAGCACCCGCGTAGTTGTTTTTTTAAGAGACAGCAAACATTGGACTCTTACCAACAAATTTCTGAGGCATAGAGCTCTTACGTTTGGCGACGTTACTTGCTAGTCTGTCCAGCACGAGGGATCTCTCTGATCCTATCTTGCACAGATCTTCTGCCATCCCACTCTGATTAGCTTCTTCTTTAATGACTAAAGTCAAAGACAGTTAGAGAGGCCAGTTTAGAAACGCTTACAGTTGAAAGAATTTGGTCGCGTCCCGCGCTAAATCTGACATTTGTTAAGCACCTACGAGAGCCAGGCCCTTCGTAGGGATGATGATGATGATGATGATGATGATGATGATGATGATGATGATTTCTAATCTCCCCGGCAACTCTGCCAGGCAGACAGAGTCTGCCCACAGCCACCTGCTAATGACACCCGGGGACCGCACATTATCTCCCACAACCAAAGAAAACAAGTACTGTCACCAGAAGCTGGATGTGATTAAGCACTTGTGTCCCTCTGATGAGTCCTCCTAACTTTTCAAGGGCTCCCAAATCCACTACTCATCAACCTGCTGAGAATCCAAGAATTGTCAGAGCTGGAAAATGATCTAAGGGTCCAATGCCATCGGCTGGCACAGTGAAGTGAGATGCAGAAATGCAACAGAGAATCCCGGCAACACGGGGGTCGGGGGGGGAGAATCCAGAGCTCCTGATGCCCAAACACACAGCAAACGCTGGAAAATCAACACCTTCTAACTGCAGAACACCTAGACCCTGCGAGGGTAAGTGTTGATGTAGGGAGTATTTCTAGCCCTGTCTTTCTCTACGTTGTTTCTTTCCATAATTGAAGAGACAACTTTGTATCTTGCGGAATCCATCCATATTCTAGTTTTTATGTTGGATGTTTGGAAATAGAACTCTTTCACGTGCCTGCAATTTATCCTAATGTACGAGGAGCTGAAAATGTCAATTATATTCCAAATAGCTACTCAATCTTTCCAGCACCATTTCTGAATGGTCCACCTCAATCCCACTGCCCTATACCTCCTCCTCCTGCTTTCTCAGATACAACACGCTGATTTAGCACAGGACCTGTAGGCTTATCCACTCCTATTCTTGATTTCTGTCTATTCTTCAAAGAGCTCTGCATTAGCTGCATGTGAATACAGCACTAGACATTACTCTTCCTTTTTGAAAATGCCAATCCCCTCCTCTGTTCTTCTAGATACGCATGACGATATTCCAATACGATTTACAGACACATTTTATGTGAAAACCATGCCTTGATTCGGGAAGACACATGCCTGCCCGTCCCCCTCTCCACGTCCCACCTTTGCTTTCTGGCCCCAGCACAGTGAGGCAGCGGTCCTCATTATGTCCTGAGCATTGCCTGCAAAGATGATTTCTAAGTGTTTCAGGTCTTCATTGCTATTATGAAGACCATTTTGGAAACATATATTTCAAATTGGTTATTATCGCTGGTATATGCAATTTTTTAACATTGGAAATGTGTGTTTGCTATTCGATGGGCAAACATGATAGTCTACACCCTGATTTAGATGAAGGCTACATACAAAACCCACACAGCCCAATTCCAGTGGTTGTACGTTTGACCTATCAAGCTCATATTTTCCTCACATGTCCCTGCTTCTCCGCCAAGCCCCGCCCAGGGCACCTGCAGCACTTCAAGTGGGGTTACGTCCCCAACAGGCCACAGGGCCTCCTGAGAGCAGAGATGCTCAGAGTCATCACAGTGAGGGACAAAGGAGTCCAAAGCTCCCAGGTCAATCGCTACCTGTCTTCGATGCTTTTTCCCCTAAGAGCTTGTAACACAATTTGTGTACCTGATGGATCATCTTCCAAACGCTCAAGAGAAACTTACTTTTTCCATGAGGGAAATTACAACAGAGGACCAACAAGCCTTTAACTAAATACAGTTATATTCAGAAAAATTAAACTTTCCCACCTCCTAGCTAAGCTAGGCTTTGTTTTTACCAAATCCCAAAGAATGGCCCCAACCTACGGGGATTGAAGAGGGGGGAGGCTGTCTGGGTGTCCATCTGAGCACCGAGGGGGCTGGTCTCGGGTGCCGTGGGAAGGACAGGGCACGAGAAGGCACGGGTTCAGCCAGACCTAGCACAGCAAAGCTAAGTGAGCAAGGACCACCCGCCACCCCTACCCACACCCCAGCAGCCCACTGCCTGCCCTCTGAATCCATGTCAGCTTGTACGACTAGCACTGAAGTGCTTTTATGGATTCCCTCCACACCCCGAGTTCCTTCACTGCACACAGGAAGCCTTCTTTATCTCCTGAACACAGGAACATAAGGACACATCATTGTGGTATTCCTAATGATCTGGTCACCGAAGGGAAAAAATTAGCATTTCAACACGGAGGTGATTCTGGCAAGAGGGTAAGATAAATCGCAGACATATAAGCTCACTGACACAGACAGCCAACGGAGGAGACCAGTCCGGTGTCAATACTTCAGTGACTGACATTTGTATGTTCACGTGAGTGCGTGATGCATGTCGACGCTCCCTAAGGCTCTCTCCTCTTTCTCCCAGAGGCTTTCTGCGACGTTGGCCAGGCCAGAATTATCACTCCTGCTTGAGGGCCCAGGGTTGCATTCACAAACAGATTCAGAGATGCAACTTGAACCCAGGTCTCAGGGACACAAAAGCTGCTCTCCCCTGGATCAGCCCGGTCTGACTTCCTAACGTGTTCCTTCAGTAACAAAATGGCAGAGAAAACCAATGTGCTCTGTCTGTGTCTCTTGTCCATTTTGTCCTCGAAATTCCATATGTATGGTTTTAAAGGAAATTCAGATCACTATGCTCAAAGAGGGCTCAGTATTATAGATAATAAATTGCAGCAAATATCTGTTGGGTAGATAAATGGCTTATTTAAACATGGATCAGTCCATTTTGGAAATATATATTTCAAATTGGTTATTATAGCTGGTATACGCAATTTTTCAACATTGGAAATGTCTGTTTTTCATTAAATGGGCAAACGTAAAAGCTCACACCCTGATTTATATGAAGGATACACACAAAATCCATAAAAACCTAATCCCATTGGTCGTATGTTTGACCTATCGAGCTAATATGCTTCCTCACATGTCCCTCCTTCTCGGCAAAGCAGGGCACGGTGGCACTTACTTCCAAGATCCATTAATTTATTTTTGGCAGGAAAACACAATGTCTGAATGTTTAGATTTTATTCTAAAGGAGCATCCTCCTCTCATCTTCTAGACACCACCCTGGTTTGGCCACAAATTGATGACTATTACATTGTTACTACTGTTTTACTACCTAATTTCCTCTCTTCTAGTAACCCTCAATACCTTTCCATTCTAGAAACAGACCTCAGACTTTGGAGAAGGCTAACTGAAAATATAACGGGATCTCCTGATTTTACAGGTGAGAAGAGTAAGGCCCAGAGAGATCAACGGTCAGTCCCCAGATCAACAGCTGATGGGCGGGGAAGGCAGCCCTAGAACCAGGGAGCTCTGGCCACATAACACGCTGCCCGTGAGTGCCAAAACTATTCGGTTCTTAGAACTCCTTTCTGACCATTTGTCTCCCCTGCTCTCACCTGTCCTTAATCTGAGTGCTCTTGAACTTACTCGGTGCCGCTCAAACATACACTCAAAAATGGTTAAGATCCTAAGTTGTCTGCTATGCGTATTTCACCCTAATAAAAATCCAGTAAGTGATCACATAAAATTTAAAATGATAAAAGTAATCTTCATGTTCCCTGGTCGATTTCTTTTACGACCCATTCATTCAAGTCAGAGAGCTGAACGAGGTTTTAAAAAATTTTCAACTCTTAATTTAACTTCTGCTCCTGGGTCCAAAGATGAGCTTTCCCTTGGTGGCACCAAGCAAGTGGTGTTTTGAAAGAGGTTAGCTTCACTTGATCTATTCATAAATTTATTATGTTTTAAAAAGTTAGAAAGGTGCCTTTTATTCCACCGCCGTCCCTCTGAGTAAATTCAGCCTCCTGCAAATTCAGGCATCTGTTCACATCCCTCACTTTACATTATCTAAGATCAGAGTCAAACGCTACCTCACGATGGGGTGCTGCAAGCATCAAGGCTCATAAGAAAAAAAGCAGCCTTTCCTCGAAACCTGTGACAGCCGCAATCCTCTGGACTGTCAGGGTTTTCCAAGGAGCTCACCTGCTCCGGGCAGGTGCCAAAGCCTGAAAGCTTTTATTCGATCAACTTCATGAAAAAAATAGTTTTTTGAACAAGACTTCACATCTTATTTTGATTACTAAGCACAAGGAAGCAATCGATACTCCAATTTTTTTAAAAAAAATTACCAAAAACCAAGAAAACCCCCCAAAATTTCAGGGGTCACTATTGTCTTAGACGCTTCCCCAGCTTTCAAGAGGGAGGGGTTCAAGGTCAGGCTCTCTCTGGTGAGATGAGAGCTTCAAAAGTCGGGAAGCACGGCTAGCTCCGGGTGAAACCGTGTCATGTTAGTGGCCAAAAACTTCTGTCTGTCCCGGCCCTGGTGGTGCGCGCGCCTGCGCGTTCTGCACCCGGAGCTATGTGCCCGGGGCCCTTCTTCCCCGCGGGCTGGGGAGGGAACGCCAGCGCTTACCTGGGTACAGCGTGCCTGGAAGACCCATGCTTTGCAAGTAGTTGTGGCAACGCTCTTTATGTTCCTCTAAAGAGCTTCGCTGTTTATAGCTTCGGCCACAATATCCACATTTGTGAGGTTTACCAACTGCAGAAAACACAATTGAGTTCAAGACCCCAATTAAATATTGGCCTTATGTGTAATGGGAATGCATGCAATACAATTATTATCAAAAATCCAAAAAAAAAAATACCCCTCTACTCTTGAGAGCTAAAAGCCTTATGGACTCAAGTCAAAATTGCTAAATTTAAAAATGTGAATGCCCACGGGTTTCTTTGTACCAAGAACTCCTGTGAGTCTTGTTTCATCTCAATTTGCCCACAGTCCTAACTACCAAATTCTCTTGGACTTCAATCACTTTTTCAACTGGAGGAAATGGGCCACCGCCGTTTGATCAGGTAGATGCCCAACAACTGGGTGGAGACGTGAGGAATGCATCTACACTGTGGGCCAGGTCTGGCATGACACTGGGGACAGATCCAAATGCAGCCAAAGTGGATTAAGTTCCAGGATACTAAACTGGATAATTTGAGGTCTCTAAGAAACCACAGTGGATAGATATACATTAATAAAATGAGCATTCATTTCCAAGATGTATTTCCTTGTTCTAGTTTAGAGAAAGCTCCGCATTCTCCCCAAAAAGTTAAGGATGACGTGGTTTCGAGATCAGCCCTTACCAACAGAACTTACTATGAAGATGCAAGTGTTCTCCATCTTCGCCGTCCAATGTGACAGCCACTGTGCTGTTCAATATGGCGGCCACCAGCTCCACATGACTACTGAGCTTTCAAAGTATGGCTAGAGTCACCGAGGACTGAAGTTTTGATTTTGTTTAAGTTCAGTTGACTAGACTTACAATTTAAATACCATATATGGCTAGTGGCTACCCTATTAAGCAGTGCAGTTCTGTATGATGGGTTTGGTTCTTCCCGAACTTTATTGAGCCGTATTTTAGAAAAAGAAGACTAGCACAAACAAGTTCTTATCATGCCTAAGCTTAAAGACTTTAATACACAGCAACTTAAGAGATGAAATAAGTGAAGTATCTTTATTTAAATGGCAAATATAAATTTCTATCCTCAGACCAGAATCTTCTCTGACTTCCTTCTTATGTTGTTAGATTTCACAGATTTTGAAAGCATTGTATAAAAATCAATACCATCCAAATAGGAATGTTTGGTAAAATGGTTTAACCAAAGCTTGTACTGGTTCAGTCTCTTCCTTAGGTGAATAGAAGCAATGGCTTAAGAAGACTAAGAAAAAAAAAAAACAAAAAACCAAAATTTGACTTCTGGGACATTTAACAAAGGAAGAAAAGGATGGATCTTTATCCGGAGAGAACGTTATATCACTAATGTCAGGAAAGTAACATTGAAATATACAATGTTGCCTAAAATTGCACATTTTATTGAGTGCTACCTTTAGAAATTAACAGGATATAGATAACCCGTCAGTGTCCTTTCCTAGAAAAGCGATCACTTAAGCAAATTCGTGTACATATGGCATGGTGTCTGAATATCCATTTTTCTAACTATATGATTGCTTTTAACTCTGGAACATAAGAAATATGTTCACAGTAAGAAACCGAACTAAAGTATACCTTGCATCATAGCCCAATATTCTGAAGGAAAGACTCTAGCTCAGCTCTCAACTCCCAAAGAAAGCAGTGAGGAACAGAGGGGGATGTCTTCCCTACCTTGCCAGACCACTTGAACCCTCCTCTTATCAGTATAGGACACATTCTATGCCTATATCACTACGAATGTGTTGGTCTTTGGCACCTCAGGCCTCCACCAGAGGCCAGGGAAAGCTATGAGGCTGATCATGGCTTCCGTGGAATGGGGGGAGTGGCTCCATTTGGGTATTTTCTAAGAGTTGTGTGTCAATGGCACTCTTCGATGCCAGAATCACCAGCAGCCCTGGGTCAATGGTACAGTGCTAGCTACTTGCTCATCGCTGCATCCGTAGCAGATGTATCCATAGCGGATGCGGATATATAAGAGTCTACCACTCTTATATATAGTTACTCAAGTCATTGGCCATGCTTGGAGCAGGATACCATCAACACATCTTGGAGGAAATAAGCAGGCATGGGGCCAGAATAACCAAAAGTACTGTATTAGATGTTCCAAACTTCACAAGAGGTAGGAGAGCAAAGCGGGCAGCATCCCTTTGAGTTTTAAGGACCGATATGCAGGAGAGATTTCTGCTGCAAATCAGAGTCACTGGGGTTGACGATGACGTGGTTGGTGTCACCTAGGGATGAGTCTTTGTGTTTTCCACCTGCATGGAGTTGTGCTTCCTACCAACCCCAATGCAGTCCTGTTGTCAAGTGTGCTGATGTCCACTTGACCTGCATGAATAGTATGTGTGAAGTTCCTTTGTCCCAGATCACCTGTTCGGCTCTGCACACCACCAGTATCATGGTCATATGTGAAGCCTTGCATTTGGTTCCCTAGACACCTTCACTTCTAGGGGGCAACACACACGCTCCTCATTACTGACACACTGTAAACACTGTAAGATGCTCATTGTCATCCTCCCATGTTGGGGGAGCCATCGGTTCAATCTGTCCCCCGCAGCAAAGCCCTCCCCAGCCCTCGGCATGGACCCCTGTGGGGAAAGGGGTAGCATTTGGGAGTTTCCTAGATGTTGACGACCAGGAAGGAGATCAGCATGGGGAGGAGATGGCTTGGCTGGATCCCGACAGGGTACTGGCACTCCCAGGGCACCTGCGACCACTCCCCTAGCCTCCTCCTGAGCTCCTGCAGGCACTGCTCCAGGAGAAAGACTATGTTCCCCACAACACTGGCTAAAATGTGTACCACGCCTCCTTCTGGGGTCACTTACAGAATTACACATTCACGTGGAACTTCTCTGAAGGTAAACCTCAGAAACTCCCCTTTTGGCGTGGACTCAAGCCCCTCCATCTATTGGAAGTCTCTCCTGAAGCCTCCCACCCTACCCTGGAGGCTGACTGTCCCTTCCCTGTGCCCCCACCGGCTCCTCAGACACTGTGTCAGCACACCGGTAACACGTTGGCACTTGGCTGCTTCCCACTAGCCTCCTCCATGGAGAGAGGGGCCCCTGGGTGCTCCGTAAATGCTCAGTGACAAAGGAAGAGGCACAGGGAGAGGCCACTAGAACCTCGCCACTAACTACACTCGTCACATTTGGGAAGGAGATGGCCTGATTCTAGGCACGCATTCCCAGGGACGCAGTATCGCTGCCCCTGGGGGACAGCGAGGCCCTGGGGATGTCGGGGGGTGGGGGGGAGCTAGTCTGAAGTCTCTTCCTCCCCAGACAGCGCCCCGCTCCAGGGAAGTCGCTGACTAGCCGATGGTCTGGATGATGAGCTCTGGGAGGGCAGGGGTGAAGCATCCCTGCTGGACCGAGGGCCCCTCTCTGTTCCTCTGACCTGCAGGACCATGGGGCCCCTTGATGGGATAGCCAGGAAGATTCCTCAGGAGGCAGAGACTGAACCCAGTCAAAGGTGGATGTGTGCTTCGCAGGCTGGGGGTATTTTGGGAACTGTCAAGCGTTTGTGGTAATCATGCTCCGAGACTCCAGATTATTCGACGAGCGTTTGCTAAAATCTGGTAAGAGCCCCAAAGTGGCCTGTCTGCTGAGGCCTGCCTGGCTTCTAGCATGAGTTAGGCTAGGGCACGGAAAGGGGGGCGTGTGCCCAGTCAGGACGGATGGCGGCAGGCCTTGCTCACCTTCTCTCTCAGCTTTGCAAAGAAACTACGCCAGCGACAATGACCGCTACCGGAGTCCTCTGTCTAAAGCAGTTATACGTGCGGCCTAACCATTAATGTTAAGAAATGTACCTGGGAATTTTCTGGGTGTTAGCAGCGCGCCGGGTGAAAGGAGAGCTGGAAGAATCCTGCAGAAGGGCCCCACTTACCTGAGGACCCCGGGAAGACGAGGTCTCTCTGGAATGAGTCTCTATAAAGCGGGACGTGTGCGTGTGTGTGTGTGTGCGTGTGCGTGTGTGTGTGTGCGCGCGCGCGCGCGCGCGTTCCCACCCACATCCTCTGCCCCGCGGGGGAGTCAGAACTGGGGGACCAGGGCAGTGCTGCCACAGTCCCGGGCGGGCGTGTGGGGCGGCCCGGATTGAGGGGGGCGGTGCTGTGCTGGGGATCAGGCCCAGCCCTTGGGGTGGGGTGGCGGGCTCCCGCGCACGCGCGCACACACAACACGCCTCGCGGAACCCGGGCCGGGACGCCTGGCACCTGCGCCCGGAGGACCTACCGGAGTGCGTCCTCAGGTGGCCCGTGAGGGCGTCCCGCCGGCGGCACGCGTAGTTGCAAAGGTGGCACTTGAAGGGCTTCTCCCCGGAGTGCAGCTTGATGTGCCGGAGCAGGTTGCCCTTCTGCGTGAAGGAGGCCCCGCACTGGTTGCACTGGAAAGGCCGCTCCCCTGGGAGGAGGAGAGGGGTGTGTGAGAACAGAACCCGGCGCGGGGCGAGAGGAGGACCCGGCGAGGAACTTGTTTCCCACGGGGCCCGGTGACTTCCACCGGCTGCAGGTTTGATAGAACATGAGGCTTTCAGACTAAACCTGCCAGCTCCTTAACGCTTCACTGGTTGGGTCAATTTGATCTGAAAATCTAATTTTTTTCCCCTAAATCAGAATGGCACATCACAATGCAAATTCAAACTCATTTAAATAAAGTGACTGCAACATTTTGTGATGAAGAGCCACTCTTCCTGATCAGCAGTTTTGGAATAAACCAATATCCAATTTTGCGTGTTGTGGCATTTGGTGGGGTTTTTAATGTGGCTTTTTTCAAAGGGTCTTTAAAATATGCCACTGAAGCAGCAAAATAAAAAGGAAACTCATTAAAAATGCATTTCAGGATCACAAGTTCATTTCAGCGTTACATTCTTATATTTAAATGAAAGGCACTTCATTATAACAGTTATAATAACTTCTTTTCATTTACATTTTTCCTGTATTTTGCCTTTCAATTTCTTCTCCATTACCTGTCTGTCCCTACGCAGGCAAATCAGGAAGGAGACAGACAGAAGAGAGTGTGAGGCTCAGAGAGAGAGAGAGAGAGAGAAGGAGAAAGATTCAATAAAATGAGAAGTTAAGGAACTGTGAAGGATGCTCCACATGGTCCAAAGAGAAGTCCCAGATCCCCCGTGGTGGGGCGTCCCAGCCTGAGGCTCACAGAGCCCTTCTGGCTTTTTCCTTCTCCCAAATCCTGAAACCACTAAAGCTATTACTGGCCTATCTCCACAGAAGATCGGTCATATTCTCAGTACAAATCATTTAAGAGAGGCAATTTAGCTGTTATTAGGAATTCTTTTAGGGGTGTTCCGGCTGGAGTGGTGGCTAAGAAGGCAGGGGAGCCCCGGATGTGTGCAGCGGTGCCTGTCCCGTGTGTCTGGGATCCAACAGAGGGACGCACAGACATCTGTGAGAAGTACGCCACTGAGCAGTCCCGGGTCTTGGACTCCGAATCAGTGACCATTTTATACTTAGCTCTCGGGTAGAAAGGATGATACACTTGTCAGGTTTAAATAAACACTAAAGCTCTTTTGAAAACAACTTTTTTTTTTCCTTTCTTTCTTTTTTTTTTTAAGAAGAGTTTTCTGTGCCCACAATAGCTGGTGTTGAGATACCATAAAAAAAAAAAAAAAAACAAAAAACAAAAAACCCCAAAACAACATACTTCCTGGTAACTGTTTTTTCTTAGGAAAAAAGAATGTGTGAAAATGTATATTTAACAATTTTCTCAATTGCTTAATGTGGTTTTGGTGAACAAGGCGGTACTCACTAAAAGCAACTAGCAGAAGCATGTCCGGGACTAGTCAAACCTACACCGGCTTCAATGGAAAAGTTTACACTGGCCCCTGGATGTTGTGATTATCATCACTTTTATTTTTCAGTGGGCCGGACAGATGTGCTGCCGTAAGGATGGAGTGATACTTAATTATAGGCCAGTTGGAGGGATCCTGATACCAACCAGGACGTATTCGGTATTGTCCCAAATCTGCATCTGGGTTGTACGTGGCTGGGCAGAGTCAGGCAGGTGGGAAGGTGACAGCGACCCTGACTAGCTGGAGCTAAATCTCAAAGAGTCAGTGGCTGGGCGGCCCCCAGGAACATCCAGTAGCGAGAGATCATTATCTGTTACAAACACTTCTGGGCCTTCATTACACACACGTGCGTGAATGTGCATATTTTAACTCTAAGTAGATGCAAGGGAGAAGAGAAGTAATTGGTCCCCGGGGGCAGGTGCAGGGCGATCAGGGTGCGATGGATCTTGGCAGAGTGGATCTTTGGCTGAATGTTCCGGGAAGGTCGTCAGTCGGGAGAGCTCACGCCACCCAAAATGCATACAGGAAGGGTGGAGGACACACCTGATGACACAGGTGTGTTGTGGCGTGACCCAAAGCTAGCTAGCTCCACGCTGACGAGGCACTGGGGATCCGAAGGGCTGGGGTGGGGGGGACGCAGGTCGGACCCTGCCGTGGGGCCATTGTGAAGAACAGTGGACCCAGGTGGGACCTCGCAGGCAAGCCACGCTCCCCACCCGCTCGACAGGGCGGGAAGGAAAGAAAGGCGGCTGTTGCTTCAAGAGTGAAATCTGTCTTCTAATTTGAGTCAACGGTTCTCATGTCTCTTGCTGTGCCCGGCATCTTAATCCTACTGGCAAGCTTTCCTGGAAATCTATTTGTTTCTGATTGTCTGTGCTGGCATGAATATGTAACACGGGACATGGAGACTCCCGAAGACGGCGTTCTCCGAAGTGACAACCCAGGGCTCAGCTCAAGGTGGTTTCCCTCTGGAGGTGTTAGCAGGACAGGGGGCACGGCCCCGCTGCGGGATGACAGAACACAGCCCGCATTACCTGCTGAGGCTCCATCATCAACCGCTTGCCTCCTCTGGGTCCCTAGCTTGCTTCTTGTGGCTAAGTGACATCAAGCGCTCCGAGGCTGGACGGCTGTTACTTGGCGGGATGAAGGCTTTATCGTCATCACTAACTCAACATTAAGGTTTTACTCTCAGGGTCTACAGATGTACCACTCGAGGGACTCTCCCGTAAGAAGGTCTGAGTCCCTCTGAAGAACTTATTTGGGTACAAAACAGAGGCTTCACGGGTGTCTCCATCATAAAATTTAAGAGGGGATATCAGAAGAATGTAGATTACAGAATATATACCTGAGCTGCAAAAATGAACTCGGGCCCACTGCAACCATACCTCGGAGCAGATTGTACTTTGATGCTGGTGATGATGGGAACCGGGGGAGGCCCGAGACTGTCCAGAATAACCATAATTCAGACACTTTTCTTGATCTTGATAGTTCAAAGTCCCATCACTTAGGATGATACTGCTGCATATTTGCATAGCGGGGTTTCCCCCTGCATTGCGTGGCTCTTTCATACCACTCTCCCCTGTGATTCTCACATCGACCCCGAGGTGTTGGTGGGGAAGGCAGTGCTATTACACTTGAGTTAAAAAAAAAAAAAAAAAGAAAAGAAAAAAGAAACTGAGCAGCAAAACTAGGGACGGAAGTAGTGGGATCAATACACAGTTCCGAGTGGCGCCCACGGCACCTTCCCCAGGTGGGGCTCTGGGCAGAGGGAAAGGGGCAGCCTGCCCCCGGGAGCTGTCGGGTACCAGGGAGGGAAACCCTGGTGTGATTTATATGGCCTTTGAGGTTGAGAAGAAACTGCTCTAGAAACACTGGAAACTCAGAGAATTCGGGGTGGGACTGATGGTTAGCAAAGCGTGCCTTTTCTAACATACTCCACTCAGATCCCAGAGAAATGGAAACCTCCCTAGCACCATCTACCTATTCAAACCTCGTTTGGCTCCACCTGCAACCCTCCACATTTATGCAAGTGGGGACACACCGTGAAGACAATCCACGAGTTTACTGTTTCAGGGGTTGGTTTGTTTGTTTAATAAAAGCCAGGCCAGGAACCATAACATTGACGGGCTGCACGTCCCTATTTCTGGAATAAACTTGTCCTGCAGGTGAAAGAATCAGCGTGTTGCTATGTGCTTGGCACTTAGCCGCGATCTGTGGGGAGAAGTGGGCAGCAAACAGCAGGGGCTACTCTGCATATCTATACTTGGCAGGTTTATTCATTAAATGCAATTATTCTTTTTATCGGGGCAGGCAGTCATTATGTTTTGACAGTTTAGTATGCCAGAATTTGATTCATTTATCAAATATTTATTTAAGCAAATTTTCACAGTACAGTCAGGCTTTACATGAATTAGCAAGGAAAGTAATTCATTTGTGAGGTCTATTCCTCCATCAGGAATGTATTAACACGGGTCCCAGCGTCTTCTGTTAAGTGTCCATCACAAAGTAACTTACCTTCGCTTTAATTTCCAAGTCATTACAAAAGGGGAGAACCTGACTACTCTCACGCAAGCTTGACTTAGGGCTTGATGTGAGGGGTCTATTTCACGGGATAATTGGAAGATTAAGGGATGCATTAGGAAAAGCAAAGTTTGCTTAATTTTACGTTTTTATTGAAAACGCACATTTACCGAAAGTAAACAGGTTTTTAGGATTCTCCCGATGTATTGCAAATGGAAGGCATCATTTTGGAGACTGCCCCAAATCAGACATAAAAAATCACAACTCCACTGAGGCCTGTGTGTCCTGACAAGCTAGCTGTTTCGCTTAACGATTTTTCTGAATTCCTGCTTAATTTCTGATAATCATCGGATTTGTTTGGCCCCGGGTGAGAGTCACACGAGGCTGTGATTTTCAAGTCTTCTTCCTACTTCCCCGTCTTATAAAATCCTTTGTGCCTCCAGAGTAAACATTTCAACTGTTTTTTTTTTGTTGTTGTTGTTGTTTTTTGTTTGTTTTTTTTTTTTATCCCCTTGCGGAGGGCGGTGGCAGATGCTGGTTCCGTGATGACCCACCGACACCAGCCCCTAGGCAGCTACGACTCGGGGTTCCTGCGTTTTACGTTTAAACTTTCAGTGACCACTACAGGTGGTGAGTTTATTGCATTTTGCACGCCTTTAGGGCAAAAGAGTCAGGGTTCTCTTCAATTCGGAGGACACCTCCTACGTACAGGTAACAGGTACTATGGGGCCCCATTCATGTCTCGAAGACTGTCTGGGGCCATTCGAGGTGACCCCACAGTGCTGGTGGGAGAGTATGGGGCTGATCCTTTGCCACGGCCGAGCACATGGAGGGACAGAACTGGTCCCCCCACCCCCGATGTGAGAACACCTCGTGAGCCTGGGCACAGCCGTGGGACGCTATGCTGTTCTCGCCCCTTCCTGTTTGGACGCAGGCTACCTCCTTCTCTGAGGCTTCCAGAGCCTCCAAAAAAAAAAGAGGCTCTGATGGGAAATTCTGTGCCCGTGTGAGATGGAAACTAAGCAGCCATCAGCAGTCTTGTTCTGAGGCTCACCTGTTGGCGGGGAAGCCGCCTGAAAACTGAGCTGGACTTGGTGATACACTGGATTTTACAGCTTTTCCACTGCTCACTCACGTTTCTAAAAACCGAGCTCTGGGAGCCTGGATTTCAAAAAGGCACATTTTACTCATGGTTTCTCAGGGGAAACCTGGAGGAGGAGTGCATGTCAGCAGCTCGCTCTGTTTTTGTTTGGTTTCGTCTTGTGTTTGGGGGGGCGGTTGGAGTTACAGGTGCCCTAACCGCACAGCTGCCGCTCGTTAGTGGGCGGCGAGACCCCGGGGCCCTTGGCAGGACTGGGGAGGCTGTGAACGGTCCCTGTCTGGCGGCTTTAAGTCTAGGTTTGAACCGGTGCGTGTTTAGAAGTCCCTCTCGATGCTGATTGGCAAGAACAAGGCTCCCCCCTGCTACGACTTGGAGCCAATGCTACGAGACAGGGTATTATTCTCATCCCGCTACACCCCACGGACCTTCCCAGGCCACCAAAGGAGGAACTACGCCAGGCCTTACCAGTGTGGCTTCTCTTGTGGACCATGAGCACATTGGGGCCGATGCAAATTATCCCACAGACATCACACTTTAGTTTGCCGTTAGGAAGTCGAATGCCTCCGGTTCCCGACAGAGCTCTGTTGCCTTGGCCACTGTGGGAGCCATTCATTTTCTCTCCCGTGGCATCAAGCACTCGTAAATCCTCCGCACATTCTTCCCCATTCAGCTCACAGGCACGCGCATTCTCTTCATCACTCTGAGCCTCTACTTTAACATTACTGGCTGAAAGACACAATACAGGGGCCACTCAGTGTCATCACAAAAAAAAAAAAAAAAAAAAAAACCAAACAAAAAAAACCCGACACAGCAGCAAAAAGACAGCACATCGAAGCAGAGAAGGTTCTCAGCGGCTTGTACCACCAGGGACGGCGGCCCCGAGCCGGGCTCCGGCGGCAGGTGCCAGGGAGCCAACCGGGGGCCGGGCCGGCAGGTGAGTACCGACCACGTGCTGTGCCTCCTGCCTGGGGCGACATCCCTGCTAAGGGGTCATCAAGCCTGAAAAATTTCTCCTCCTCGTGAGGCGCCCTTTCCCTGTTTCATGGGTTAATACACCCTGGGACAAAGCTCAGCAAAAGCACATGTTCCCGTTTCTGGCCACAGACTCCCGAAGGGTTTCCGCAAGAGTTCTGTTTGTTTCTTTGGTACAGGATCCTCCTAATTCCTTTTCAGTGCCTCAGGATAACAGAGCCTGTGCCCTGGAGTGGAGCTACGATTTCCTACAGGGTCTCGAGCTGCTGAAGGGCGGATGGGCAGAGTTTGTGGAGGTGACAGATCTTGTTAGCTTCTCGAGGGGCCAGCCCCACGCGTGAGGGCGCGGAGCTGATGTTAAGGAACACACCAGCTCCTGTTCACTCTGCATTCCTGATTCCGCTAAAGTCACACTGAGGGCAGTTATTTCTGCCATTTGCATATTTTTGTTGGCAAGGGAAATCAGAGACATTCCATGTGCATCGTTCTGAAACACAGCCCGGTGATGAACTGATGAGTCCCACCCCATAATCAGTAGGACAAACTACAACAACCCTGAAAGCTATCACTTCTCTCATGGCCTCATAGATTAAGAAGGGCAGGGAGGTGAATTTTGCCAAGTACAAGAAATAGTGACATAGACAGTTGTTCTGACTATGAAATCTCTGACCGATGTTTTCAATCAGTGGGTCTCCAGGCTTGGTCCTTGGACCAGCAGCATCATCGTCAACTGAGAACTTGTCAGAAGAGCAAATTCTCCGGTCTGCCCCAGATGCGCTGAGCTAGAAGCTCTGGGGGTGGACCCAGTGCCCTGTGTTGTCATGAGACCCTCCAGGGGATTCCGACGTACCGGCTTGTCTGAGACCACGGTTTTAAATAATCAACCTAGTTAGTAACCCTCCAGGGTCATTTTATGCAACGCTTTGATTATAAAAGTCGAGAGCCCAGATTCTGAAATCGACATTCATGGCTGGGAACGTTAGCTCCACTCGTCACGAGCGCCGAGATCTCGGGGGCCAGTCACACACCTTCTCTGTGCCTTGGTTTTCACATCTGTCAAGGCTGGAAGGATCTGCAGTGGCCGGGCAGGGGTGCTGTGGGGACTCAGTGATAGATGGATGACGAGTCAGCTTAGCACAGGGGCTGCCCATTCCCCACACAGCTGTCCGTGGAGGGGCCCCCCCTCACCCCCATGACATCTGCGACACTGACTCTGTGCTAGGCACACAGCACTTTATTTGCCCTGAGGTATTTAGCTCTCACAGCAACCTGCTGAGGGAGGTCATGCTGTCATCCTATTTCACGGTTGAAGACGCTCAGGCACAGAGAGGTTGAATGATGTGCAAAGGTCACACAGCCTGGCTCTGGCACCCATATTCCTAGCTGCTGACCCGCCAAGACTTTCCCATTAGCTCTCTGTGGAGGCAAATAAATAAATAAATGGGACAGTGAGTTGGAACACGGGCCAGAGCCCAGAAGGGAGTATCTCCTCTCAACAGATCCCTATGTTACATCCAGAAAGAGGGAGTCCCCACCCATGCTTTCCTACCAGATTCTGAAGACCAGACACCCTGGAGCGCCCCAGAGAGGCCCCCTGCTGACCTCTCCCAGCTGCCCGAGAAAGGGACCAAGTCCCATTGACACGGGGAGTACAGGACGTGAGGCGGGCCAGGCGGTGGGGTGCCGTCAGGCTTTCTGACCTCGGGGTGCTCTAGAACCCTTATTCCCAGGTACACGCCCTGTACCTTTCCAGGTGCAAGCTCATCCTCTAGGGTCTCATTATCCCCGGGCTCTGCGCTAGAACGCTCTGGAAACACGACCGTCCAGTTACAAAGACTTCTAAACGCCTTCACCTGGGATTATTTGTAACCATCCGACTGGTGGCTTGTTTTTTTCTCAAATGAGACTGGGGCATTCCAGAGCACAGCGGGGCACATGGTTGTTGGCATGGCAGGCTCTTCAGCCAGTGGCGCTGAGACAAGGGGTGTAGGTCTGCGCACCCGTGGCTGGGGAGGTGTGAGGACATGGAGAGAACTGACCCTCGCCAGAAACCGTCACTTGTTGCACATGGTTAAGGCAGACAGGTATGGCTTTCACCCTGCGGTGTGCTGTGTGGCGTGCCTTGTTGGGGACGTGTGGGCCCTTCCTGGTGATGGGCAGGAGAGTGGGAAAGCAGCGGGCTGAACTTCTGGGTGACATGGGCCACAGCAGGCCACCTGCAGCGTGGAAGGAAGGAGGCGAGGGTGGCCTGGGGGGCGGCCCGGCCCGGGTGTCACCTTAGGTAGCACGGAAGTCCTCAAACCAGACCCGATTCCTGTCATAATCCGGCTTTCTCGTTACTACGACGTCATGTGATAGTCAAGAACTGTAACAGAACCAAAATAGGAGGCTCAAAAGGCATGAGAGCCTATGAGAAGTGACCCCACGATTCTGTGGACCCCCAGGTACAGGTTGAGGTCGAGATGGTCCATGCCGGAGGAGGCAAAGCTCACAGACTGGAATTCGGGGTGCCTTAATGCTGCGGGTCTCTGAAGGAAAGGGCTCAGACAGCATCCCAGGTCACCGGAGGGCCAGGTCGGGCGACCGTGACGGACGGGAGCGTGACAGGGGCCCTTGGAAGCAGACGCCACCCACGTTCCAGGTCAGAGCCAGGTGGCAGATGCAGAGAGTTTTAGGGCTGGGAGCTCGGTAGCACCTCGGGGACAGATTCCAGGCCACCTTAGGACAGGAAAGGTCTGCAGGGACCAAGGGAGAAAGGATGACAGGGAGGGGCCGGGAGATCACAGTGGGCAACACGGTCCCCACGGGCACGCCAGAGTCAAGCACGAGTGACAGTTCTCTAAATATGGGCAAAACGCATTCCTATCTCTCTGTTTTTTAAAGACTTATTTTTTTTTTTTGGAGAGAGAGCGGTGGGAGGGGCAGAGGGAGAGGGAGAATCTCCAGCAGACCCCCTAAAGCATTCCTATCTCTGCGGACAAAGGCAAAGTGGGTGTTGGCCACACAGAAGAGACGGACGGGCTCCTGCCCTCCGAGGAGGGCGTCCCTGGAAAAGGGGTGTCCCCTCTGGCTACGAGAGGAACACAGGCCAAGGGTTATTATTTTCAGGGGTTCAGGGTACGAACCTATCGTAATAAGTCACAAACACAGCAGTCTCCAAAACTGTGATCTAAGGGACATAAATGTCAAGTCCCCTTAAGTTAAAAGACACCTTTTATAGAAACACAAACTCAGGAGTGGGGGAGGTGTCGGCCCCACTTATCTAAGTGTGAAAAAGGTTTTGGGGGTTTGGGCTCAATTAGTGATGTGGCTGGAAAAAGGAGAAACAGAAGATGCAGTCTTGGGGTCCTGCACGGGGTGAGATCTGGAGTCCCTTCCCTGGGCCCGGCCGTGTGCCTCCGTTAAAAGGACAAGCCCAGCCTGAAGGGGTCAGAAGGAAGGAAGTCAGTGGGGGCTGAACACACTGGGGGCGTCCACGGGGCTGGACCAGCTCGGAGAAATAACTTGCAGGGCCAAGAGGCTGGAAGCAACAGGAGAGCGGGCAGCCTGGGCGGCCCGGGCACAGCGCGGCTTGGAGGTGGCGCCCGGGTGGCGGGCTCCTTTTGCGGCTGGGCAGGCGGCCTCTAGCTCATGGAGCAGAGGGGACACTTGGGTGGATCACCTCCTCCTGCATCTCCATGTACAAGGGTGACGGAGGACTCGGGAGGCCTGTCTGACTGCTGAGTTTGTGGGCCCATTATTTTTGCATTTCCCAACCCCGCAGAAGTCAAAGTCCCCGGTGGTTGCTTCACCTAATGAAGAGTTCGCAGGACAGGTGACTGGCATTGATTTAAGCTGTCCACCTGTTGGCTTGGAGCCCAACCAGGGGAGGGTGCAAGGTTCTTACTCTACTCCCTTGAGAAAAGTCAAACGGGGCAGGACAGGTCCTCATCACTGGTGTCCCTTGAATGACACAGGTCGACCCGACCAGTCACTTCCATGAAACAAAGGGTCTCCCCTCGTTTGTGTTTATTGTGCTTTAGTCCACCCCTTGGATGATGTCTCTGAGCTCACCGGGGCTCGTGTTGACTGGCCGTCCCTTCCCCGGACTCCTAAACCACTCTTCCGCCCCATTTTCTTGGAGCCGGAACTGCTTAGGTGCACTATGGTGTCAGTGAAACGCTAGACTCTCCCTTGATGTGGGAATTACACTTATAAATATTTTGCAACTCCATCCCACCCCCCCTTAGAAAAATGTCGAACTCAGTATGGCACTGAATCGAACTGATCAAATATAGAATATGAGGTAAGACTCACACACTTCTTTACCCCAGAACGCTCTGGCTTAGGTCTAACCCTGTAGCTCTTCCCGAGAGCACATGGACAGGGGCCTGATTTTATTATTTAATAAACGTGGCTTATATTAAGAGGGGATGTCTTCAAATCTGGAGTCAAAGCTACTTTCCTTCTCAGATGCTGCCTTACATTAGGAAAAATTAAAATATTATTGTTACATAATTTAGAGGCCCTCTATATTATTAGTAACACAGCAGACCTAAGAGAGACCCAAGACCCTTAAGAAGGCAAGGTGGACCTCAGCTCAGACACAAGTTCAGCACTGAACAGTCTGGAGAAACCAGGGAACTCAGGGTCAACGGGGCCAGGAGGCCTCTGCGTGCCGCCAAGCACTGCACGTACTCATGAATGATTAAAATGTTTTAATGCATAGATATAACGTGCCCTGCCAGTCCCCACCTGACAAATGGGTTGTGTTTCCTCCCTGTTTTCCTTGCCCTTCTGGAATGTGTCTTTCTATTTACTGGTAACGTAAATGTTTGGTCCTCACACTGTGCTTTTCCATGGAGAAGACGTTCTGAAATCGTCCCTCTGGTCTGAGTTTAGGCCACGTGAGTCTCAAGTGCTCCATATTTTAAATGAAAAAAAAAAAGGGGGGGGGAGACAGAAATATCCCTGCAACCGGTGACTAGCAAGCAAAATGCAGAGGGAATAAAAATATTTACGAGAGATCCTGAATGAGCGTAATTAAAATTTGAGATGAAGACGAAATATGTCGATGTTTTTGTGCTGCCTCTAAAAGAGATTTGGGAGAACTTTTAAGCATTTTTTAAGCTAATAGAACCACTCATTCTAAGTTTTATCATTTAAAACATAGGGGTTTGGGGACGCTTGGGTGGTTTAGTCCGTTAGTTGTCCGACTCTTGATTTTGGCTTAGGTCATGGTCTCAGGGCCATGAGTTCAAGACACGTGTTGGGTTACACAGCCAACAACAACAACAACCTCCCCCCAAAACCCCAATAAAATGTAGGGGTATTTTTCTTGTCAAGATGCATGATTAGACGCATTTTTATCCTTATTTGATACTTTAGGACTTTAAATGAAATAAAGTCAAGGACAGAGGTGTCTGACAAAGGAATGATTTACAAGCACATTTACATTTTCCTCAGGTTACTGGGAACACAAACTGGGATAGAGAAGGTATCGGGGGTCAAACAGGTTATATATTTTTAATTTTCAAGCAGGAAAACAAAGAGGTGAGGTCAGGCGAGTGGGGCAATTCTCCACCCTGCCCACCAGGTGGCGATGTTGGCCCAGAACAGCTGGGTTGCTGTTGGGGTGGGGAAGTCCTCCAGGTCATCAGCCATCTGTGCGGGGGAGGAGGAGGATATTTACAGTCTGGGGATGGGGGAGGGGGAGGGGAGGAAAGAGAGAGTTACGAGTACCTTGTGAATCATTTGCATAAATATACAGACAAGCACATATCAAAACATGCATCATCCATCTTATAAAATCTGCAGGTAGCATGTATCTTTATATGAGCACATGACAATATGCTTGCCCCCAGATCTCCCTCAGACTTCGTGAAAACGTCTCAGAACATCTTTTCTTACTCTTCGATGCATTTGACTTCTCAACATTTCAGCAATGTGATTGTTCATCTCAAAATTAACTTGACTTCTCTGTCCTAGCACCTCCATGTTTTATATAATCATAGGAGTGCACACACCCATACACACACACACACACACACACACAAGTACATATACATACATCCATATCTCCCAGAAATATATCTCAAGCTATTGTTTTCAAGTTGAATCAAAGGAAGATTGATAAGAGAAAGATCTCGATAACTTTTATAACCTGGGAAAGTGGTCAGTTTCCAATCTGCGTTGTTGCTATACCCTTTAGATAGCAGAGTTTTGATGACTAGGATGTCAGAATCTTACCTTTACCACTACTGACACCTTTCAGATTGTGCCTGGATCAATAACTGTTACAGTATTAACAAGCACACCCTGTTTGCTGAGGTTGCTTTACAACAGGAGAGAATTTACTAATGCAGGCTCTGAAGGCTTTGGTCCTAAGGGGATGACCAATTTGTGCTACTTTAAATATTTTAAAGCATTTTAAAAAGCACACTCCATTCCTTAAAATACTCCTTCAAAGGTGCTGCCCTGATCTATCTATGGTTTATCATCTCTCAATACCTAAAAATGAAATTAACATCTGCTTTTGGTTTAACAGCTCAGATCAGGACTGTCCTGAGCACAAAAAGCACTCAGTGTGTCTGCTTGGGCAGTGAGGCACCGCACCGCAGACTAACGGTCCCAAAGCCCTGCGATGTTTCTCTTCTCGGTTCTGAAATTAATACTTCAGAGCAACAGAGGGAGAGTCTGTCTCTTCCTCCTGTCCCACAAATTTGTAAAAGTCATCATGCACACACGTTGGTCTGTCTCATGGTGACAGGAAGTCTGGCCATTTTATCATCCTACTCACTCGAAGGGAGATACTCCTCACATTAATGGCAGAACTGTTGACCAACATTAGTAGAGTAACAATTCAATGCTGGTGTTACTTCTACCCCTATTACTCCACCAAAAGGCATGTTCCACAGTCTAATCTTCCAATGGTCTGAAATGTTACATACGCACTTTATTGTATCAGTGATGCCCCAGATGGTAGATGTGTAATGAACAGGATGGGCAGTATTTACCTCATTTTTTTTCAAGTACGAAGGCGGGAGATGAAGAATCATGCATTTACACTATGGAAACTGAGTATGAAATGAATACATGTTTCTGTTTTCTAGAAGCAAGGCATATACTTACGAGAGAAAGATTTGGGAATTAGTGCATGAAAATCCCTAAAGCCATCGGCCCCATATACAACTGCAATAAAGAAGGAGAAAAGAAAGCTGGCTTTTGATAGTGTTCATGAGGCACAGTAAATGTTTAAAAGAAAGGTTACTCTTTTTAAAAAAGAAGTATTACTGCTCAAAATCATTTGTTAGCTACTAATCAGCTACTCTCAGCCTTCATACAGGCAACTGAAAGGTAACCCAGTGATGCTCAGAAACAGGACTGTGACATCCAGAGGTCAGAGCTCCTGCTATATTATCTACAACCCCTGCTGTCCTAAGCACCTTGGGGGTCGTAACCAAGAACACATTCTAGAACCATGAGGAACTTTTCAGCAGAAGTGGTACACACGGACCCCAGATCTGAGCATCGAGGCAGAGGTTGTCCCGGGAGAGCACATATCTTCACAAAAGCCGTGTGTTTCTTATCGGGCTGAATGCATAGCAAATGTTCTTCATTCACCTTTTCAACATTTCTTAGAAAGTGTTCATAGAAAATTAGAAATGTTCACATGACCCACTGAGTGGGGAAAATTAGTATTTTCCCCTACCTCAAAAAGAGCTATCAATTTCTGTAGGTATTCCTTATTAGCTGCTTTCATAAATGTTATCAGCGCCTCAAATCTTCAAGTTCTTGATCTGTCTTTATAGGTCAGAGCTTCCCACCCTGTGTCTGTGTCTGAAGGCTCAGTAGATACCACCCACGTGCACACACAGAGCACGATGCAGATGTGTGCGCGCGCACACACACACACACGGTTTTCTCTCCAACGGTGGCATCCTAACGTCTATCGGAGTTGTGAGCACAGCGCAGCTGCTAAATTAAACTTGTTGGATCACCCACTGAATTAACAGAGGAAAGACCCCACGGTGTCCTGCAGGAAAGACACTCACTGAACCTTGCTGAAACTGTTCTAGCTTCCAAATTTACCTGACCACAGACCCTCCTGGTTTTCCCAGGAAATATTTATTAGAATATTGGGATAATGGGCAACGCTGTTCGTTGAAGTGACCACCTTAATTATTTCCCAACAAACCCTCAGTCTTCCTTACAGTGTCTCTTGACAGTCTGAATCTAACAGAGACGGTCACTATCGTGTGTCTCATCAAACAGGCAGGTCAGCGGCGGCTTGCCCGGGTGCACCTTGTGCTCAATGTCGGCAGCTGGCCAGCAAAATGATGCCAATTTTACAGTGACCTTTGCACTGAGCTCCAACCCCAGTCTCTCCGTGCACGAGGGTGCGCGCATCTCAGATGATGGGAGAAAAGGCAGAGTCTTACCTTTTAAAAACGGGGGCATTACAATCCGCGATCTAAGACTCTGATTAAATGTTTAATCAGACACTGCCACACACCCTGAGACGCTGCTCAGATGGCCCTGGGTACCCCCTCAGCTCCGCAGGCCACAGTCTGTGTGCCTCGTGACGAACATGGTGACGAGAGGTGTTCACGGTCACCAGTAACTTACGGGTACAGGAGCAAAGGGATTTTGAAAGGTACGCTAAATACAAACTGTCTGATAGTGGAAAATGTAGACTTGCATAGGGCTTGGGTCATCCAAGTGTAAGCCCTGAAATACAGAACACCATCGCGGTACCTCATTAGACATTAAATGTTCATCCTTTTCAAGAGAATCCATTCCTTGCCTATTGTAATTCAAAGTTTTTGAGTTTTGTCCTTCATCTTTGATTCCCTAAAATGGGCAAAAAGCTTAAAAAACCAAACACGGCTATTGCTATAGAGTTGTTCTACTTCCCCGTAAGGAAGCTGAGCCGTTAGGAATTCACTCTTGGTGATGCACCACACACGTTCATGCACGACCAACTTCTCAGTCCGGAAGAAGAACGTGGCATTCCTGTGGACGGCAATTATGCACAACAGGAAAACGGGAAACTCACCCGAACCTGTTCCGTCCCGTTTTGTCTGCTTCTGTCTTGTCTGGTGCTTTCTGGACCTATGCTCTCTGGCCAGGTTCTGTCCAGTGCTGTCCAGTCCTGTGCCACCCTAACCTGTCCGGTCCTCTCCCGTCCAGTTCTGTCTATTTCTGTCCTGTCTGCTTTGATGTGGTGCTGTCCTGTAGTGTCTGGTTCTATCCTATCTAGTTCTGTCTGCTTCTGCCCTGTCCAGTTCTGTGGTCCTGCCCTGCCCAGGTCTGCCTGTCTGGTCTATCCCTCACGGAGGGCGTTCACAGGGAGTTTGTAAATGCCAGGTACTTGCAAAGAACCTTCCATAAGCTGCCTTCAATTTTCGCCATGGCCCCACAAGGCAGGAACTACCACCAGTTTACCAGGGTGGAGACCGGGACTCCAAGGAAGTTCTGGAGTTTGTCCTCCGGGTGGTTACCATGGGAAGGTGCAAATCTGAGCCTATATCTAACTAACACATTACATTCGTGTGCAACATGTTAGTTCCAAACACACAGTCTCCCGTGCAGGAAGGGCCTTTGAGGAGCTGTTTTCTCTGTCATGTGGCTCGAAAGGTGTCAGGAGGGGTGTTAGTCCAGCTACGCACACACATACACACTTAGGTGTGCAAGCACACACACGCTCCCCCACACACGGGGGCCATGGCGCATTTACCAATAGTCCCCCGCAAGATGAAATGATTTGGCCACCATCAATTTAGAAAGCGTGTCCCCACTGGCTCTGCCCTCCACGCAGCTATCCCCACCCCAGCTCACCTGGGCCCTCTGGGACACCGGGTGAGCGTGCACAGTGTCTCACAAGTCCCTGTCTCTCCCTGAGACAGCTGGTCAGGGGCTCAAGCAGTCTGACGGTGCTCACATGCTTCTGGTGAGCCCTCAGGTGGGCCACAAAACCCTTCTTCTCACTCATGTGTGGAGAGGTTTGCAGGTACAGACCTGTCCTTTCCCTTAGTCTAATCCTGCCCGTAAGCCTGAGACTCGAAGCAAAGCAGCTCCTCTCGCTGGGGCTAGACGCTGACCTGTGGGAGCAGGGAAGTGATGCTTCCATGAGGGGCGTTCAGGCGTGTGTCCCATTCTCTAATAAATCCCACCCCAAATTTTAGCCCATTGTTTTCAAAAGGGTACAGACAGAAGAAGATTCAATGTATCTTAAGTTTTCTGAATGTCATGAAATGCATTCTTCTTCTCAAGACCAAATTTAGTTCATTTGGTGGAATTTTTATTTACCACATTGTCACAAATATTTTCAAAGAAAATGCTGTCAGTGGCTCAGATTCTAAGTTCTATTCAGACTACTACCTTGACGAACATTCTGGAAAAAAGATGAAATGCCCACAAACCGCACTTGCCAGTTTGCATTCTGTCATGCATGTGAATCTCTCATGCTGTTGTCACCCTTAGGGAGACACGAAAACAGACCTGAGATTTTCAAAACAGGAGGAGGAAGTCTGTTTCTCTTTCAAGTCAAAGAAGGACCCTGACGATTTTCTGGGGAGAGTCAACACGTATAGATTCGTATTCAGGAGAAGTTAGAAATACGCTGGGGTCTGACTTTTATACATATTCTTCAAATCATAGTAGCCTGTTGGGCACGGTCAGATCATTAGTGTCCTATTAACTTGAGTTAGTATGGTTTGCAAGTGACCTTTGCAAGGCGTACAGATCTGGCATTTCACGATTGGCAGCCTACCCCTGCCCATGCACCAGCGACAGGGTCCCCCGATTGGGATGGTAAAGAGAGGCCAAGAACAGGACAGGTGACCCTCGCCAGAGCCGAAACACCATGGCTGCACTCCTGCTAGGGAGTGAGTTAACCTGCACATCCGGACTCTCGTGGAATTCTTCCATACCTACACACTCCTGGGATGGATATTTGTTCTTAACCCGTCCTCAACGTTGGGGAGCTCCGGGTTCTGCCTAGGAAAGAGAGCGCTAGCTAACGTCTCCTGACGGTTCATTTCAGGGAGGCACTGATGTTCCAGCCTTACTAAAGAGGAGGCTGCACTAAAGACACAGAGCTGGCGAGTGCTGGTGTGAGGTCTCATACCTACACTGAGTTGGTCCCAAGCTGCTCCTTCCAGGACACACTGAGCTTCTCATCCCACCTCCTTTTCAGGCTTTCGGGGCCCTGGCATACAGGTTTTGGTGTCTCACTCAGCCCTGCACCCTGCATGGCCCCAGCCAAACGCCACGCCCCGAGGGGCGCCCAAAATGTCTGTAAAAAGAGGCAGTGGACGTATGCCAGGGCTTCCTGGCTGTGGGAACTCACCCGGGCTCTGTCACCACCCAGCTCCCCCAAATCTGAACTCAAGATCTTTTTCCAGACCCAGCTATCCTTCCTCCATCCCACCTGTGCCAATGGCACTCCTATCTGGATTCCCAGAGCTCGAACGCACATGGGTCCCCCCTGCACCCTGGACTCCCACTGCCTACCTCTGATCCTGCAGATCTTCTCAAGCTTCCTGCTTCCCAGTCACATCACTCCCCAGCAGCACCACCCAGCCGAGGCTGCCTTGGCCTGTGCCACATCCTGCCAGTGCTTCCTGGCCACCAACCCCCCTCCCCCCCGGCACGATGGTGGAGATGCATCCTGGGGACCTTGCCTTCGGGCTCTCCTTCATTGATCTTACCCGCTGCCCTAAGATGGTCATGCCAAAGGCTGCCTTCCTCAGCCCACATCCACTCCCAAAGTTCCCACTGGCTGGCACTCTTACTGTGAGCCCCAAATCCCAAGACCTGGGTCTGAGTCCCTCCAGGACTGGTCCGCAAGGATGGTGACTCTCTCAGCAAGCCATGCCGCTCAGATAATCAAGTGCATGAGCCTTATGGAAAAATGTAAGAAAAAGCAAACTCACCAACTGCACCTTACTTGTGGATGCCCTGCACGTTTCATTCAGCTGTGCAGATCCTTATTTCCTAACTATGCCTCCTCCACCATAGGAACGTGGTCCCCTCCTGGAGCCCTGTCCATCCCCACCCTCCACAGGGCTGGATATCACCCCTCCCCCCTCCCATCCTTTTGATGCCCACCCCAAAGCTGGCTCTCTCTCAGGCCAGCTCCAGCCCAGAATCCTTGGGGCACATGCCCAGTTCTGGAATTGATGTGGTCCAGAGCCCAATTCTGTGCTCAGATGAAGAGGTTACACTCTTCCCCCGTTCCTCTCCTCCCGCACATTGCCTAGAACATGCAAGGTGCTCAGGATAGAACTGCTGAGTCAACAGCCTTTACTACTACTTTCTGAAGACAACTATCAGATCTGAACATTTTCAGAAGTTCATTCACATCCAATGAGAAGTTGCAAATTATGCAGCAGAAAGCACTTTAATTTCCTACGTCGGTGGAGAGTGAGGCTCCCAAGAAACTGGGGGCATTTGGAGCCAGTTAGGAACAGGGAGAATCGCTCTTGCTGGTTTCTGCTCAGGGCTGGACTTGACTGCAGTGTGTATACACTGAGCACACATGGACTGGCTTTCAGTTTGAACGTGTCCCCTCTCCTGTGTCTCGTCCCCTTATGGGAAGGCAGGGGCAGCTTCTAGATAGTGGGGTGCAGAGCAGGTTTTGGGTCAGAGGTGCGTTTGGCATTCGGCTCTACCTCCCATCAGCTGTGTGGACTGAGTGGTCCAGGGCCACCTACACTGAGCCTCAGTTTCCTGCCCCACCAAGTGAGAATAATCATATCTATCCTCGTCAGGTTTATGTGAAGACTCAGGCCTTCGGCATGCTGAAGCTTTTTTTCTTAGTGGAAAAGCACAGGCAGATAAACACCCATCTTGTCAACGAAGACTTCAGGGCCTATGGGATCAACTACAGCCCACTAACATTAACCGAGTTTTCTAAATGGGAGAAAAAACAGAGAGAATGCTTTGTGGGATCACTGGCTGTAACAAGCAAAGACACATGTCCTCAGGGAAACTGCTGTTGGCACCATGACCCCCTGGGTCCATGCAGGCTTCCCTCTGGCCCCAAATGCTCCTGCTTGGTGCTCCTCTCCATTTGAGAATTATGCAGATGTTGTTTCAGGCAAACTGCCAAGGTCATGGGACAATTTTGGTTGCTTGGACTGGGCCTGGACAAAAATGGCTAAAGTCAACTTTGCTTTACTTTAAACTCCAGCTGTCAGATCTGCCTTCCAGAGCAGACAGGGCGCAAAGCTAACTGAGAGCCCAGGAAACAGATGAAAACCCGGTTCTGAACCTCTCTCTCTCTCTCGATGCAGCACAGCTGGGCACCTATCCTATTTTTGTTTATGTTTTATTGATACACCTGTCATGTCTCACAGTGAACTAAGGGGCAGAGCAAAAGCTCTGATGCGCAGACCTGTAATTTAGAAAGGGAAAAACAGTACGTGAAGAAGAGTTTCCTTCTGAAGGGTACAAGTAAGAAAAAAGCAGGTTCAAAAATGATGATTCTATTTATGGGATTATCCTTGAAAGTCATTTGTGGTCATTTGGTGTCATTTGTGGCCTCCTGTCACCAACCCCCTCCCCAAGACACAGTTCATCACAACTTGGGGGTGAGACATCCCACAGATTAAAGAACAGGGTGAGGCTTAGTTTCTGACTGTTATGTCCTTCTTGCTCTTTCATTTTTTTAATGAAAAAGTACCTTTGTATGTGTGTGTTGGGGGGTAAAATAACATTTGCCTGTGCTAAAGATCACAAGTGTACAAAAGTAGCAAGATGAGATTTTCAGAAATTCACCTCCAAACGACTGTACATCTAAAGAAATCATGCGAGGGAGAACATGGGAAATAAAACTAAAATAAATAATAAAAACAGAGTGACAGAGCTTAATCCAAGCTTTAAAAAGCGAGAAGGGATATTTTCAGGCACCGAATCAGGCCTGGGGAAATGCAGCTGGCTGGAGAAACAGTGACGAGACAACGCGAGGTCCCGTCTGGCGTCAAGGGAGGACGAGCCCGTGTGAGGCCCTGGGCAGAAGCGACAACGTGAATGTCTTCCTCCATTGCACATCTCATCCCAGGGAGGGACGTTTGTGCTGGGGCCCACGGGCCCACACAGTAAGGGAGGGACATTCTACAAAGCGACTATGCCAGTGGGCAGGGGTGGCCGCCCAGGTGTGTCCGCCGCGGTGGGCCGTGGATGCAGGGCCACGTGGCCAGCAGGCCCCGCAAGGGCAGGGACAGCGCCGTGCTCCGCCTGCGCACAGGGCAGGGCTCACTCCCAACCCCGAGAGCGAGGGACGCGGGACGCACAGCTCACCAGCCTCCTAGGCCGCCGCCACGTGGGCCGCGAAGCCAGGCGTCCGCCGCGTGGGCTGCGAAGCCAGATGCCCGTCTGCTGTTTGTGCATGCGCTCCCGCTGAGGTCGCTGCACGCATGTTTCCGATGTGGTTTTCCCGCAGGCACATTCGCACTCAAACAACAGGCTGAACCCTTGCTGCCCCGGGGAAGGGAGTGTGGCAAAACGCGGCACAGAAGAGGAAAGGAAATCTTGCAACCGGTTGTTACACCTGCGAGTGTGGGGGCCGCGCGGGCCTGGAACTCATGGGGGGCGGGGCGCAGAAGACGGGGCTCCTGATGGAAACCCGGGAAGGGCTGAGGATGGCAAACCCAACTGTCGCCGGCCTCCGGGCTCAGGGGCGGAGCGGACACAGCTCGTCCAGGCTCGGCAAACGGGTCATTCCCTCCCTTCCCCACAGTTGGCACCATGTCAAGCCCCGAAGATTCCAGGAGCCCAGGCCCGGCTTCGGGGAGGCCGCAGATAAAGTAATCTCCCCCAGGACACACAGAGGGTGGCTCCCCTGCTGTCCCTCCCTTCCAGAAGCTCTGAGGGGTCCCTGCCAGCATTCCAAGCAAAAGGTGACTCAGCAAAGGCTGAGCAGGGTCAGGAAGAACAGCTCGGGCACTGGCCCCAGGGGCCCAGAGCCCAGAGGGGGCAGGAGTGGGCTCTCTGGCTTCACATGGGCACCGATCCTTGAGGGAGGTGTTGACCCTGCTCATCCTCTGAGGCCGCTGGGGCGCTCAGCAGGCCTCCGGATGCTTTCCCAAGCTGCAGGGGCCACGAGGCCCCCATTCCTGCCTTTCCTGTTTCTTCCTGTTCTCTGCCCCAAAAGCATACTTCGCAGGCACCAGCTCAGCCAGTGAGCCGGGGTTCGCGGGGTGTGGGCGGGAAAGAGCAGGAAGTGCAAGACACCTGTGTCATGCGCAGAGGAAGACAGGGCTGAGGGTGGGAGCGGTGGCTGGGACTGAAGCATGCGGGGGGGGGGGTGGCTGGGTGCATCTGGCCTGGGTGCTGGAGCGCACATGCATGTGTGTGCACGCCTGTGCACATGTAAATGGCACAAAGATCACTCTTCCTGCACACGTATTTCACAAAGGCAGCTCAGGAAAAGAGGCTCGAAGCTAGAGAGCCTGGCACTCACAGTGACTTTTACGTTCAAGACAACAATGCGGGATGGGGAGACAGGACTCCCCTCGCTCTGAGCACTAGATGAGCCCCGCATTCCTGGGGGCACCTCCACCGCCCCAGCCCAGTGAGCGGGCTGCAGACAGGAGCCCAGGCATCAGACTCAGGCGCCCACTGTGCTGGGAAGCCACAAAGCTCCAGCTCCCTCCTGTTAAGTGGCAAGCTAAGCATCCCTGTAGAGATTTCTGGGGAAGGAACAGTGGCCCATGGCAGGACTCCCCTGTCCCCAGCTGACACCGAGGCTGTGGGACACATGGGTACTTTAAGCTCTTTAGTAACTAGCGTTAACGAACTGCTCACCTCGAAATGCTCCTAAGGGATTCTTTAACACACCCCCCTTCTTCTTCCCCTTTTTGATCTCTCTCTCTCTCTCTCTCTCTCATGATTTCCAAACTTCACTCTACCTTCTAACCGCTAAGCATATGGTGTTTTGTCAACACTCCCAAGGAAGCTCTGGGATGGGGCTCGGACCACCAAATGGGATGACGGAACAGGGGTTTAGGGAAGGACCCGCCCCCGCCCTCCTTCTCCCTCTGAGAGGCTCCGGGGTTTGAGAGACCCTCACAGCCTCAGCAGGTCTCAGTCCCCTCCCATGTGACACTGGGACCCAATGCCCGTCCTAACCCCACACATCTGGAGGGTGGAAGGGCAGCGCAGCCCCTGGGCAGAGGTGCCCACCCGCAGTACCAGCCTCTCTGCTGACGGCCCCACAGCCTCCGACTGGGACTCACTCATTACTCAGCAGCCTCCCACTGCCCGGCACCTCAGTCAAAACTGCACATCTCTTGGGAAGAACCTTCAAATATCATGGTTTTTTTTCCTGGTAGATGTCAGCTACTTCTCAGGATTCGAGAAGCTCAAAAGTTCCTGTCCTTCACTTCAGCACCGTTTCTTTGAAATGAGGGAGGTTCTCCTCTTCCTTTTCCCATCTCTGTCGTTTCATGATTCAACACTGTTTACTGGGAAGCGTGGGAGAAGCACCAGGGCAGCCCATGCCCTCCTCCATCTAGAATCCAGCCCATGCCAAACAAGCAGGGTCAACGTCAAAGGTTGGACCTGGCCCCCGCAGCTGGCTGCCCTTCGTCCACGGGGGGGGGCGATGAGGGAAAGGACTCAGAAGCCTCGGGGATGAGGTCCGAGGCCCCTGCCCCGAGGGTCCCGTGGTGGGAACGGGGCTCAGGTGTCAGGACAGGGGGCGGGGTCTGGCCGAGGAGATGCTGAGGACACTCCCCCCTGACCCCACACCCCACAGACAGACACTGGAAAGCTGGGGGCCAGCAGAGTGCTCTGGGGGAGAGGAGGCTCGCAGCCCTAGGCTGAGGCCCGAAGCCGACAGCCACCTCCCCGCGGCTCCCCTCGGCCCTGCGGGTCTCGCGCGCATCTGGAATCGGGCCGCGGATGGGAAACTCCAGGCTTCTGAGGAAAACCATCCCAGCTATTGCCAGCTCTCGGGTTTCCAGAGGCCCCAACTTCTGCATTCTGTCCCCGCTCCACGCCACCTACCCTCCTGCTGCCCTATCCAGATGCCGCCAGGAGGCAGGGCCCAGAGCACGATTGTGACACGGCGGCATGTGTCATATTGTAACTGGGTGTCCACATCCTCCTGCCCAAATTGTTTAACAGCCTAGAAGAGGAACCAGGGCAAGGAGTGAAATGTAGGAATGCAGGGAAAGAGGAAGCCGCCGCCAGACACCAGCCCAACCGAAATGCGGAGAATTATGGAGAAGTGACAGAAAGGGAAGCAAGAGCAGGGAATTGCATTTGGTGGCTCGGCCAAGTGCACATGCATGCACAGATACACACTCACAGACACAGACTCTCACACTCCCACACGCTCCCACACGCACTGATACATGCTCTCACACACACACACACACACACACTCACATATACACATACACATACAAAGACACCCCTCCACACAGACACACGATGGACACACTCACAGACTCACACACACTAATACATGTTCACACACACACACATACGGACACACACAGACTCACACTCCCACATGCACCGATACATGCTCACACACACACTCACACATACACAGACACACACTCAGACTCACACTCACACACTGATACATGCTCACACACAGACATGCACATGGGCACACAGACTCACACCCACACTCCCACACGCACTGAAACATGCTCATACACACAGACATGCACACACACACACACACACTTATACAGACACCCCCACACACATGGACACACACTCAGATTTACACTCACTCACACACTGATACATGCTCACACACACACAAAGACACCCCCCACAGACACACAGACTCCCACTCCCACACACACCGATACATGCTCACACACACGGACACACACAGACACAGACTCACACACACACTCCCACATGCACTGATACATGCTCACACACACAGACACACACGGATACACATACAAAGACACCCCCCCCACACGGACACACTCCCTTACGCATAGATACATGCTCTCACACGGACACACACTCACACTCACACATAAATACCCACACAGACACACAGTCCCATATGCCCAGATACATGCTCACATGTATCTCATATATACACACATACTTATACACAGACACACAGAGACTCATACACACACTCATATACACACTCACACTCCCATACATACACACACACATGCTCTCACACACATAAACACATTCACAGATTTACACAGACACACACATACCTTTACACAGAGACAGACTCTAACACAGTCACATGCCCACACTCACACATGCATATACACACTCACACAGACCTACCCCCCATACACACTTATACACAGGCACCAACAGAAACACACCCACACAGACTCACACAAGGCACATTCACATATACATACTCACATACACTCACACAGAGAGATATTCCTACACACACACACACACACACACACACAGATATAAGCTCTCACACACATAGCCACTCACTACAGACACACCACACATACACATACACACACACCCACACAGTCTCACATACACACACACTTATATACACACTCAGATACACACACATACTCAGAGACACACACATATATACACTTATGCATAGACACATGCACACTCGCACACACACATACACGCACACTCACACACACACACTCATACACATGCTATCTCATATACAGAGACACAGTCACCCTCACATACACTCATACACACACGCAATCACGCACAGACACACACACTCTTACACATGCTATCATATACAGAGACACATGGTCACCCTCTCACACACTCTCATTCACACACGCACACTCACACACACACTCATACACATGCTATCTCATATACAGAGATACACAGTCACCCTCTCACATACTCTCATACACACGCACACACATGCACACACTCATACACATGCTATCTCATATAGACACATAGTCACCCTCTCACACACACTCATACACACACGCACACACACTCATACACATGCTATCTCATATACAGAGACACATAGTCACCCTCTCACACACTCTCATACACACATGCACACTCACACACACTCACAAGCCTTTCCCGCACCTAAACCAGCCTTCTAAAAGACAAGGCTCTCCTAGTGCTTAGCCCCAGAGGAGAGGGACCAGTCAGCTCCGCAGTCCAGCTGTCTGAGGACACCTGGTCCAAGCTTCCTCTGTGTGTCTGTCCTACATGGTCCGAGACGCAAAAATTCCTAGTAATTCTAGGACACTGTTCTATCGTTTTCCTCTTATATTTAAAAAGAGTAAAACGGTAAATTTCCTTACATCATGGTCAAAAATTTAATTTTGGAGCTGAGACCCTCCCCCCCCCCCCGCAAAAAAATGGAATATTGAACAGAAAGCGTAAGTACATTCAGGCAGATTCCCTTTGGGACAAAAAAAAAATACCACTGTAAGAAATGAGAACAGGTCACGAGGAAAAACCTGAAATCTAGGGAAAAATGAGAAAGAAGTTGTGAATTAACCTGTTTGCGGCATTTTCTGTGTGTTCGAGATAAGCAGAGCTCTGAGTCAAAGGCATTCCCACCAGAGGGGTGAGGAGGTTGCCTAGAAAAGTCCTTATCTACCGTTTTCACAGGCGTGTGGTGGAGGGTGGAGGGCCGAGCCAAGGGGGCCTCCCTGCCTGTCCTGGTCCCAGGATTTCTGAATTCACACTGGAAGCTCCCTCCAGGTGCGGGCTTTAAAATGAATGCATCTTTTCCCTCCTCTGATTTTCCAGGAGAAACACGGGTTACCCCAGGCACTATTACCGTTCTTGTAGAAAACTACTGAATATCTCTTGAAACTTGGCATGTGTGGGGGACCTTCCCGGGAGCGGTCCTTCCGATTCAGGCTCTGCAAGCTAGCGTGTGAAAGTTGCCGTGAATTTAAGACAGGAGAACCTGCATCCCTAGAAGACTTGAGGTAAACCTTCAGCCTGTGGGCAGAGCTCAGACGTGTGGGCAGCTCAGGACTTCCCCGTGTGCCCACCTCCAGGCTTCCTGGGTGAGTGTTCTAGATGACCTTCTATGCATCACACATTGTTCCTACCCCAGCGTGATGTCCTGGACAATGCAGTGTGACACCCAGGCACTGCCACGTAAAACCAAGACGCCTGATGTCTTCCTTCACAGGTAAACCTGGGTCTACTCAACAAGCTCTCACCAAGCACTGGTACCACAGAGGCTGTGACATCTACCCCGTGGCCACAGGCCTGCAACCAAGGGCACTGACTGTTGACTCGTGAGACCCTTCCCAATATTACAAAAATGAAGACCACCCATGCTCGCAGGGGACACACAGCTGGTGATCCCCAAATGCCTGAGTTCTTTTTTTCCCTTCCGATTGGCAATTTGGTTTCTCATCTCTGATTCTTGTTTTGTTTTTTTTTTTCTGTTTTGTTTGTTTGTTTTGTTTTTTCTCTATCTAAAAAAAAAAAACAGTAACGGCAGCGGAGATCTCTCCTTGGCACCACCCTACCTGAAGCCTGTCAGCCTCCCTTCCAGCCCACCGTGGGCAGGTGCACCCCCACACACCTCGTGTCAGCTGCTCAGCTGTTCTGTCTTTCTGCCCGGGGCATCTGAGGCTTCAGGAAATTCTGTGCTGCTCAGGAGCAGCCCCAAACCAGGACCCTCACTCTCCATGGGGCAGCTGTTGGCCAGTGGGGGGCACTATGCCTGCCTCGTCCTGCATTCTGCCTGGTGGCTTGGGTGGGATGGAAGCCTGGTCCCCCATAGCACTGGGGGGCACATCTGCATTGGTTTCCCCCTTTTCTTTCTTCCCTATCCCTTGGTCTGGCCTCCCATCAGGTTGGGAGAACCACCCAGTTCTTCCAAGTGACAGAGAATTGATCAAGGAGCATCTCGCACGCACAGAAGGCAAACCTGGGGTTTTTAAACCCCGAGTTATGGATAAAGACAGGCAGCACCCATAAACCAGTGCCACCCACAGCAGATACTGGGGGGATGCTGCCTCCTCTGGACCCTGTCACTGAGTTTTAATATGATTCCTGCATCCCGGCTCTGGGACAGTCTGGTCCCCACACAAACTGATCTCCTACCTTGTAACAGAGATGCTGAGAGAAGCACACGTAAAAGGGTTGACACTATTTAATAGAGGAAAGTTTTAGTAACTTGCTAGTAGACTTCAAGATTCACTAACAAGAAATGCCCTTTAATAAAAACGACACCGGTGAAGACCTACCATGGAGCCAAAGCTGCATCTACTGGGCCCTTGGCATTCGCGACTCTCCCAGCCCCAGCCTCAGTCTCCCCACCCGAGGACTGGCTCTCATGACCAGTCACTCCCTTTTGGTGACTTTGGAGAGCCCCTAATGCCATGGCTGGGCGGACACGTGTAGGAAAGGGGCAAACTTCTTTCCCTCTTGTCCCTTACAAGCCTTCACGCAAACACTGCAGAAATGAAACTTCAAGTTCAACACCAAGGAACAGGGAAAAAGCAGGAGACATGTGCCTGGCGGGAAGCGGGCATCAGGCCCAATCTGGGGAGGCATGGTGACACACCAGAGCTCTGGATCTAATCAAGGAAGAGAGATTTGGGAAACTATAGCCTTGCTTATTTAAAGGCAATACTTATTTTCAGAACACCAAGTATCAAAAAAATTCTAAAACTGTATGAGGGAAAAATACATAGCATGTGGAATTCACAGAGAATTTTTACCCTCTGCAATGACAAAATATTCATATTTAGGTCACCAATTATTCCAAGGTCTATCATGGTTGAGGGTCAAGTGAAATAAAATGTCTAATAGGGGTGCCTGGGTGGTTCAGTTGGTTGAGCGTCTGACTCTTGGCTTCGGCTCAGGTCATGATCTCAGGGTCCTGGGATTGAGCCCTGCGTCGGGCTCTGCGCTCAGTGGGGCGTCTGCTGGAGATTCTCTCTCTCCCTCTTCCTCTGCCTCTCCCCTATTCATGCCCTATCTCTAAATAAATAAATAAACAAGCAAACAAATAAAATCTTTTTAAAAATGTCTAATAAAGTAACAACAAGACATATTTGCACAGTAGATCCAGAATTGTCATTAGACTTCCCCATCTCAACTTGAGGCTTTGGGTTCAAGGGACAGAAGGAAGTATCACAAAAACTTAAATTGGAAGGATCTGTATAAAGATCAAAGAAATTGAAAATGCAATGCCTTTGGCTCATTCAGAGCTGCTAAACTGAAAAATATAGACTGGGGGAAATCAAAAGCATCACTAGCTGACCTCATCCCGTTGACATTACACTTACTCAGAAGTTGGACATCTCATCTGCACCAACTGGTGACAACAGGTCAACAATGAGAAAGTAAAACTAGCCTCTGAGCCAACCATCAAAAAGAGAAGTAAGAAGCCTCTGAACCAAATTCACGCGTTTACTCATGGGTGAGTCCCTCTGACGCTCACTGGACCGTCTGTACCCTCAGCTTATGCAGTGTTGAAGATGATTAAATATTCTGTCTTATCTTAACACCAAGCAGATTAGAAGTTGCAATTTAGAAAGTCGAGAAAGACACTCAAAACATCCAAACAGATAAGAGCGTTCAAAGCCAGGGTCATCTAGGGAACAGAGATAAGCTCTACAGGAACGTGACTTTTTGTGAAGTGAAGTTCAGGACCTCTACCATCCAACAAATGCCGCTGTTCTTTCTGGCCGCAAGAGAACTACCTCTTTGCAATGTGGACTGCTTTGGAAAATCTGAAAGTCAGGACCCCAGTACCCTGGAGGCATGAAACATGTCTGCTGAAGAAAGGAATGAATGCATGAGCAAGTGAATGAACGGACAGTACAGTCCTGCCTGCTCACGGGGTTTACACATGGCCAAATGTGTGCACACAAATGACCTCTCCATAATGCTAGAATTCGCATTTACAATAGTAAACCCGAGTTCAGAAAAAGAGGTTCAAGTAATTTTAAGATATTCTTGAAAGAATCACATGGGGGTTCTAGAAAGATCCCTCATCCAAAAGGGTTAAAATACAGCAAAAATAAAACAGGGTAGGTTTGAGTAGT